ATGGCAATTTCGATAGAGAGGTAAATAATTTAAAAAGGCTTCATGCATGGCCATGGATTTGGAAATGATGAATGAAGGTGGCAAGACCATATTAGATTTTTGTTTAGCTTATGAATTTTTTCAATTTGCTAATACCTTATTTAAGAAAAAGAAGATGAGCATCTCATTGCTTATAAAAATGGATTATAGTACAAACTCCATATTCGACTATTTTCTTATTAGCAAAATTAAGATCTTTGAGATTGCAAAGGATTGTTAAAGTTATTCCGAAGAAAACATTATATACCCGAACATCTATTATTAATTTTAGACTTTAAGATAAATGGGCATAAAATAAAAAAATAAAGTCAAAAACATTTTCAGGATTAGAAAATGGAGCATTTAAGGAATAATTAATAAAAATATTTTTGTGAGAGTAAGATTTTAGATCTTTAAGATTTTGTCTTGTGCATGAGGAATGCTAATGTTATGTGGGAAAAAAGTGGCTAGTGATTACTAAGAAGTTGTAAAGAGTGCTTGGAGTATCAAAGCGGGAAAAACTCATAATTGTTTAAAAATAGTTGGTGGTGGATCCAAATGGTTGCAAGAAAAGATTAAAAAATTAAGAAGATTTGTTATAAAAATTGGTTAATTTTAAAAATTATGATAATTGAGAAATATATAAGTGGCTCGTAAGGATTCTAAGGAAAGCAATAGCGATGCCAAAAAACATTAGCTTATAGTTGATTTATATAATAGATAATACTAAGGAGGGAGAAAGATATATGTATAAGTTATCAAACCAAAAGATAGGAGTAGTAAAGGATTAGTTCAAGTGAAGTGTATTAAGGATGCAAATCAAAAAAATACTTTTCTTAGAAGATGATCATTTCAAAACAAAGGTGGATGAGATATTTTGCCTAAATTTTTTAATGAAGATTGTTGAAATTAAAATTGACTATAGTGACCTTACATCCTAATGAAAAATAAAGATTTATGTTTTTATTGGGTATTAGTTAAAAAACTGAAGTTAGAGAGACTTTAAAGAAAAGGAAGGGGTGGAAAAAAGCTGTTGAAGCCTGAGATATTCCAATAGAGGTGTTGGAAATGCTTAGGAGATGAAGGGATTTTCTTGGCTTACTAAACTTTTTAATTACTATTTGAAGACTATAAAAGATGTCAGATGAGTGGAGAATGAGTGTGTTAATTTCATATTTTTAAGAATAAAAGTGATGCACAGATTGGTACGGAAATTATAGATGTTTTTTAATGTTAAATGTGTCATACGATTTAAAAACTATGGGAGCGAGTTATGGAACATAGTTGCGGCCGTGATACTAATGTTTCTCAAAATCAATTGGATCTTGCCGGGTAGGTCGACTATGAAGCCATACCTTTATTAAGAGGTTTGATGTGGAGAAATTATAGAGAAAATAAGGAGGACTCTACATACGATGTTTATTGAATTTAAAGAAAAAGCATATGATAAAGTTCAAGAAGAAGTGCTATGGAGAGTTCCTTGAAAAAGAATGGATCAATAATGCTTATATTCAAATCATTAAGATATGTATGCATGAGCTATTACTTGTGTTCAAATACAAGGGTGGTTTTTTGACCAAGATTTCCCGTATTTCGTTGGTTACATCAAGGATCAGCCTTAAGCCCATTATCTTTTTGCTTTTGTCATGGATGTTCTGACTTCTGACTAGACATTTGCAAAGAGGATGTAACTGGGTATGCTTTATGATGATTATTCTTCTTGTTGATAAGACTAGAGAGGAGTTGAAGGTAAACTTGAATTATGGAGGTCAACCTTTAGAGTCTAAAGGTTGTCGCTTGAGTAGATCTAAAATCAGAATATATGGAGTGTAATTTTAGTAGTAATAGACCTAGTGAGGGGATTTGTGACTTTGGGCCGATCAAGTCATTAATAAGAGTACACCGTTTTAAAGATATCTTGGATCTATTGTTCATGTGATGGTTGAAAATAGATGAGGATATTATCAGCCCAAAATCAGTTTGGATGGTTGAAAGTGAGGGATGCATTCGGGCTTGTTATGTGATAGAAATGTACCCCTCTACTTAAGGGAAATTCTATAAGGATGTTAGTGAGGCCTGCCAATGCTTTATTGGCGCCGAATGTTGGCCATTTAAAAGAGAAAGCATTAATACTAAGTTAAGTGTTGGCAGAGATGAGATCTCAGGTGTGATTGAGTGGCGTTTACCCTTAGAATAGGATACGAATCGAGCATATACGTGAAGAAGGTTTGGAGTAGCTCCAGTAAAGAGATAAGATTAGAGAGATCGCCTTAGATGTTTGGCCACATAAAAAAGGCGGCCTTCCGATGACACTTCCGGTTAGGAGAGAGTAATGTATTAGATTTGACTTTGTGTTAAGAAGGTAGGGGTAGACTAAAAAGACTTGAATTTAGAAATATTATGAATGACCTTTCTTTATTAGAATTTAAACTGAGAATTTTGACTTTTAATAGGCACAATGAGAGAAAAGGATTCATGTACCGACCCCACGTAGTGCGGATTAGTGGATAAGACTTTGATGTTGTTGTGTTGTTGTTGGACTTTAGTTATAGAGTCAACCTCTTGGGAACCAACTGGTAATAGGGACCATGATCCGCTCGGCTTAGGGGTCTTCTGAACAATTTCTTTTTTTAATGAGAAATTGTTTGATGTGGATGAAGAAAGTGTGGAAGGTGCATTCATTCTAATTAGGATTCTAATATGCTACGTGTCAGCTTCTAATTACTTGGGGGCACCTGTATCATCCGCACTCAATTATTTCTCAATTTTTACTCAGTAATGTTACTGATAGACATTCAGTTAAGATCTGTACAAGCAAATGCTTATTACATATGGTTAATATGACGAGCTTAATTTGTTTGCAGGATACTCAATTACTTCTATGGGACCTGGAAATGGATGAAATTTCTTTGCCACTACGGTATCCTCCAACTGGAGGTTCACCCACATTCAGCAGTGGAAGCAATTCTGCTCGCTGGGATACCATAAGTCCTATAGGTACTCTTCAGCCTTCTCCAAGCATGAGAGATGTTCCAAAACTCTCTCCTCTTACTGTTCATCGTTCCCATGTGGATCCTCTTTCCGGTTTAATCTTCACTGAAGATTCAGTCGTCACGATTTGCCGCGAAGGACACATAAAAATCTGGTCCAGGCCTGTAAACACTGAAACCATCAGCCAAGCAAACTCTGACACTGTAGTCCATAATCTTTCTGCTACTTCAGAAGAGAATCCTGATAGGCAGGTTAATGGTACCAGCTATAAGCAAACTGCTTCGATTTTTCTTCGAAACTAAAAGGAATGGAGAATGGAGAATCTTTAACTGGAAATTTCTGTTTTCTGGTGATGATCTTCTCATGGTTGGAGAAGTAGATAGAGCAGATAGTTTTGAATTGATTTAGGATTTTTTTTTTTTAAATTTACTTTTCTTTTGATCTTGTCAATAGGGCCATTTGGGTGGCATAAGAGAATAAGAGGATATCCTTCTGTACAGGTGCAAGAATTTTATAAGCTCAACCTCATTGAAATATGTACATGAGCTTAACATTTTTAGGCTTGATAATGTGAATTAGAAGCTGAAATCAAGTACCTTTCAGTTATATCAATTGTAAGTAAATTTGGTTGCTTGAAGATTGAAATATGTTTTGAAAACTAGTTAAGTTTATGAAGGGGCGCATTTGTGATCATTTTTTGTATTTGTTTAATTTTTATTTTAATTTAAATATGAAATAAAAATATTTAATTTTTTAAATGTTAAATGATTAAATATTTTATAAGATGGTGATGATGGTGATTGGTGGTAACAATTATATAATGAAGCTATAGCAAGCTCACTACAGTTTTCACGGCTTTCATTGACCCCTAAAGGCCAAAACAGTTTTAAAAGTTATAAATACAATATTTTTTATTGC